TAGTGTTGTAAAGTCTGTATTTTTTTTATTTAGTATCTTAGATTTGAATGGGTTTAGATATTTAAATGAAGAAGTTGATGTGTGTGATTATTCAATTTCAATTTGATTTCCAGGTAATGATTCTTGTAAGTGGTTATTAAGTGATGGGCGTTTCCCAGGGTATAACACATGGCAACCGTATGGATGTATGATGCATAAATATACAAAAGTGTAAGTATACCTGTTTGAAACCTGATGAATCTAATACTTTACAAAAAGGATGGAGCTAGTTTCAATGATACTGGAACATAACAAAGTCTTCCTTTTTATCAGTATGACTCTACACTAACTTCAGTTTAAAAATTGAAGGAACATGAAAAAAAGGACTTAGTTACTGTAGATTATTTTTCTGGAGACTTGGCATAAAAACTGTAGAAAACCAAATGTTTGAATTTGCATACAAGAAAATTAATCATTTAGTAACTATTTCTTTATTTAGTCATGCACGGCGATGTATGCATTATATTTACTACTGGGGAGAACAGAACCATATCACCTTCCTGGGAGATTCTCGAATTAGACAGCTCTATTTTGAGTTTGTGAATCTTCTGAGCCTGCAGAGGGTTGAGGAACATAAAGCTCACCAGGATCTTCATTTTGAGGACAAGAAAATAAGTGTGACCGCTGTAAGTTTGGATAATCCTTCTTCATGAACATTTTAGATAGGTTTCAATGACTTTACATAGATTTTTTTTTTGCTTAGAAAATTAAATTGTACTGATATAAAAATTTAAAAATGCAAATTTAACCTGGTTCCTTCCTTAATACATACATGTATGTATATAACTGATTAGTGTACATACATGTAAATGCAGTTGTCATATGTACATAACTGATTTGTGTAAATACATGAAATTGTTATTTTCAAAATCCTCTCTTATTGTTAATGCATAATGTTACAGTCATGTCAAATGAAGTTTCCTTTGAAATAAAGATGACATCAGGCCTAAACATTAGAATCAAGTTGGGAAAAATTGAAAATCTATTTTTAGGACTTTTTGTGGCACCCTATGGTGAACTCATCCATGTATGATGTGTATAAGAACTGGTTGATGGCAGAGAAAAGTTCCAGGCCAAATCTTCTGATCACAGGCAGTGGGACTGTGAGTTATTATACATACACTCTCTAAAATATATATTAAAAAAATGATTGTTCTTATTGGGACAACATCTAAAGCAAAGTATTTATTCTTAGTGATGTCATCAAGTTAAGGTTATTCATCGTAAGAATTTAAATTTATTTTGTGATTTCTTGTGAGCCTTCATGAGTCAAAAAGAATTAACATTCTGTTGTCTATTCCAGTGGAGCATTAAGCAGTTCAATGCTTCAGAAGAGGCTGTGAAGAACTTTGAATGTAAGAGTTTATTTTCAAGTTGGGAATTAGGGATACGTACATGTATTTTCACAGGAAAGGATTAGAATGATAGTTGATCTTCTTCGCATTTGCTTCAGGGATCAATGTAAAGTCAGACTTCATTTTATTAGTGTAAGCAGAAATCTGACTGCAGTGAAACTATTCTAAAATATTTTGTGTAAATTAATTTTAAAAAAAGTTTGACTCATGGCACAATACTTCAGCAGTTTGAGATGCACCATAGCACAGAGTAAATACTGTAAATGTACTTTATTCCACAAGGTCATAATTTTGCAGAATCACAATTTCTGTTCAATCTGCTGGTAGAAAATTATGCAGATAAAAAAAATGCATTTTAAGTAAGCAGTGACAAAATTCCGCAGAAAATTTGTGGCCTTTTACATAGCATAAATTAATACAGTATAATACCACATGGAAAAATGTACTTCCACAGCAAGAAAGCAAAGTTCAAGACACTGGTGATCATCTGGACACATATTGGTGTCTGATTTACTTCACCATTCTGTTATTGAAATATTTTAGCACATGTATTATACTATATTTGTTTCAGTGAATCTGACCATGATTCTACCTTACATCTTGAAGTTGAAAGACAGCACTCAAATTATTTGGATGTTGCAAGGTAAAGAAACTTTAATTTTTAATGAGAGATGATTAAACATTTTAAAAAGTCAGCTTCAAAATTATATGACTGAGTAGCAGGCATACATTAGCTGTTAATTTTTTGCTGTTTTTGTTTTTGGGGGAGGGGGGAGGGATTCATTCACTCACCAGTAGCTAAACGCTGTAAAAAAAAATTAGCAGTTTATCTGTAAAGTCACTATCTAATCCAGTTGTTTGATTTTGACAGATCCTGTAGATGAATCCAAGCTCTACCTGAACAGATCAGTGATCACCAATCAACAGGTGGACGCCTACAACAAAGTGGCCATTGATATACTGTAAGGAAATACACTAAGTCTAATTCTCATGAAGTTATAACAATCATAGTTATCAGATGATCAGATACAGGAGAAATTCTTAAAAAAATCTAATTCCTTCTGTACTTTCAATAAAATCCAGTAGCCGTAATGTAACTAATTTCTTAACTTCCTTGATGCACTGTCTTTCAAATTAATAGACAGTGAACATTTACATAACATCCAAAGATTGTATCCCTCAATAAATGATGATTCAATTTTCAGGGACACACACCGTACACTCACTGTTAACTCTCATTTGGTTTATTATTTGCTACCATTCAAGCTCTCTATTGGCTTGTATTTTGGTCTGTCAGCACTGTTCCCCATTCATGTGTACTGTTTGCTCAATCCTATGTATCTGTTCCCTCACCATTTTCTGGGTGTTTCTTCACCCCTTGTTTATGGTTTGCCCAGCATTCACTCAAGTGAAGATAAAGACAAATTTTCCATGCATTGCAAGTGACTGCTGAGTTGTTTTAATTATTGTCATTTGAGTGATTTAAAAGATTATGAACATAAATATAAATTAAAATCTGAGTTTCTTAAGGATGCAAGGAATAAATTGGTGTTTGGTTCTTTGCACATATCCAGCATTCAACTTTCATCATTTGCACACCACATCCATTTGCCATTTTGTTCATGGTTCAATCATTCACTCTTCTCCATTCGTGCTCTCAATTTGCTCTCTCTCTTGTAAATTTCAGTGGAGGGAGTGAGGCCAAGTTGTGGAGCTCCTCCAGATTGGTAGCCCAGGGAATACATGACAACTCACTCCTGGATGGCCTTCATATATCTAAAAGTGCTCTGGAACTTGTGAGTACTCTATTTATTAATGCAGATAGGATATAAATGCAGTTGCATAAAATTGTAGAATTTTTGGGGACAATTTTATGTGTAAGTATGTAAAAAAACAATTATAAATCATCCTGTATGAACATGATGTACATGTAAGTACAAGATTTGTTACAGCAGTAGAACATGATCTGTTTACAGGATATCCAGATGTTGATGAACATGTACTGTAATGATCACATGAACCACAAGGATGGTACATGTTGTCGGGTACCAGATTCTGTGACTTCTATACAGATTATCACAGCTGCCTTCTTCCTTGTGTGGTGAGTCAGACTTCCCTGTGTTATACAAAAGGGAAAGGGGGTGGGGGAGGGAGGGGGAGGAGTTAGTTAGGATCCAGATATACACATCAGTCTCTCTATCTGATAGCTAAGGATTCCGCTACATAAGTCTTTTCATGTTTTGTAAATTTGTTATATAAGAATGAGTTTACTGTAATAGATCAGTATTTCCACAGCCTGTAAAGATCTAAAAATAAATAAAGATTGTAGATGTCATGTATTTGTGATGAATTTTACAGTCTTCTGTCAGCAATAGCCATGTTCTTGTACAGAAGGAGGATCCGACGTAATGGCAGTAAAGCCAGAGCAGGTAACCATTCATCTACAAGTATAATACACTCAGATTTGTCAGCTTAAAAAACTGTGATCGCTTGATACACTGGGATATAAAACTTTGATTTGCAGAGCTCTTTGATGATGAAATGCAATTTTGTTAATGAATTTAATGTTTAATATTAAGCTTTTTGAAAAGTTTGTGCTTGAGAGGTTTAAAGTCATGAGCTTGAAGATTTTTTGTTTAGAATGATGATATAAAAGGTAAGTTTACACTTCTTTTGCAGATAGTGGTATTCGGAATGGCAGGTCATACGTTACACCATCGGAGAAAACCTGGCCGGACACTGTGTATGAGATTATGGTTTGTTTGGCCAAGCTTGGACTGATCATGACTTACACATTTCTCTGTGACAGGTAAAATCCTTGGAATTAATTGTAACTATTTGACTTTTCTCCTACTTTACTCTATTTTTCTCATCCTTTACTCTCCGTAAATGATACTTGTCAAAAGGGAATAGGAGAATTGCTTTCACTTATGCATTTACTGTGTGATATTTATACACTGGATATAATGGAAGTACACATGTACATGTATTGATCCAAATATTTTCAGAACAAAAGTATGACGATTTGTGTGCAAAATACACATCTTAATTATACACTAATAATACAGTGTCTCCAGTTTACAAATTAGATCAGCCCTATGTATAATACATAACTGTTATTTTCTAGGACTAACTTCTTCATGAAGGAGAACAAGTATTACACCCATGTCAATTTCCTCTTGCCATTTGCGTACCTAATGATCTTGGGCTTCTTTTTCACTGAGAACACAGACCAGGTAAGTTATTTAATACAGTTGTATGTGTGCAAACTGACCACTCAGAATGTTATGTAAAAAAACAAATTCTTTTTCATATAAATGTAATTGACCATATCATGTATATTTGCAGTATAAACTGCTTTTGTGTACTGCCCCCAGGACTCTTTCAGTCTCAGGGGTTTCAGAGGATTTGTTTCCTTATGGAAACTTAACACTGGAACTCTGTTTATATTTCAGAGTTTTAAAGAATTTAGTTGACATATACATGTGCATGTATGTATATTTTCCAGTAGGGTCAGCAGCTGAAATTCTTTTAGCAACATAATTTCCTAGTAATTATGATTAGGCCAAACAAAAAAATATGTGTGGTTCCAGTTACACTTCCAAAAAAATTAGGGTAGGTAGGTAGGGAAATTTTTTTTTATTTTTTATTTTTTTTTTTAACAAAATGATTTTCTTAATTTTTTCTAAATAATACCTATCACTGCTTTGCAAATGGTATTTAGATGAGGTGTGATAATATACTAGTCAATATTGGTAGGGGACACCTACATGCTAGCTTGCTTTGGATTTAACACTATTAAACATTTGCACTATGTTTTGCAAGGAGGCTGTCATTGCTGAAACTAAAACTTAAACTGGAGCCATTAATGGAAATCGGGGAAAATTCCACAAAAAATATGAAAATTGCCAAAAAAAAGTTTAGGGTCGGGGGTATAAAATAGGGAAGGTCGGGTAACCGGAACCACACATATTTTTTTATTTGGCCTTATCCTTATTTGATCAATCTTGCATGATGAAGCCTTTAAGGATGTATGCCATTAATCATGATTGGGTTCTACAGTAGAAATAAACAGTGGAGAGCTGATATAACCAACAGTCCTGAGAGTGGCTTCTAATTTTAAGTTGTGCATTTGCAACCTTGTTCAGAGACTCTATTTAGCACTTGCATCAACTTTACTATATTTGCATACAGTCAAAACTCTTTATCTTGAACTCAAACCCAGAATTCAAGATATTTAGGTTAAAAGGCATAAAGAAAGAGTGATTGTAACTTCCAACTCACTGTGACAAACATATACATGTATCCATGATATTTAACAGTTCAAGATACCAAAGTTTGTTAATTACAAATGAAGTACATGTATTATAAATTTATAGTTGACTGTTGTAAAAATGTATATTACAAATATGCCAATTTTTCAGACTAAAGTTTTACACCGAGATCAGACAGATGAATGGAAAGGATGGATGCAGCTAATGATAATGATTTACCATTTAACTGGAGCCAGCAAGGTACAGGTTAAATTCATAGATTGGGGAGGGGGAGGGGTTGTTAATGGATGTGTATTTTTTTACAAATAAGTACATGTTTGTCTGTGGACTTCTTTGACCTTAACATAACCTTTGAACTTCACAAATCCATGTTGCCATATTTTGTTATGTCATAAATACATGTACATGTGATTGACAAATTATCCTTTGTCAACACTAAAGGCATTTTATTTCACAGACACAAATTTTTCCAAAATTAAACTGTGGTAATTAACTTTGAATGATTGTAAAACATATCTCCATTTTACAGGTTTTACCCATCTACATGCACATTCGAGTGCTGGTGTCTGCTTACCTGTTTCTGACAGGTTATGGACATTTCTCTTATTTCTGGAACAAAGCGGACTATAGTTTCCAAAGATACTGCCAGGTAAGGGGTCAAAGGTCACTGCCAGTTAAAAGGTTATAGGTCACTGGCTAGGAGGGGACATTAGGGATTGTGTTGAAGTTAGCTATGATGTAGAGTCTTTCATGTATTTCTTGTTGCAGTTTTATAGTGTAACAAATTTGCACCATCAACAGATGCAGTGAAATAACAGGTTAAATATAAATTTATGAATTAAATTGAAATATTTCAAATTTGAGGCTTTAGTGAGAAAAGAATTTATCATGAAATTTTGAGAATAATAAGGTACAAATTCAATGCTCTGTATAAAAATTCTCTTTTACATCTTTCGCTTAAAAATCTAGTTTTTATAAAAGTTTCTGTGTAATGGATGTATGTAATTTGACAAGATTATCCATAAGCATTCAATAAACAGTTAATAAATTACATGTATTTACTTATTATTATTAAGTGATATACAATAGCATTACACCTAAGCTACATTTATTTTTCGTAGATTTGTAAGCATGTTGTTCAACTAGTAGAATGAGGAATTGCATGCGGTTATTATCTTTAATTCAAAATAGTCCTAGCTCCATGAAATCCTACCAGTTCAAATTTTTTATTAAGGCATGTTAAGTGCAGACATATATAAAAAGCCAATCAAATTGTTAATAACATCTGTTCTGATTTGCTTTTGCTCAACAAATATTTGTAAGCAGCAGCATATCTGTATTATAATTTGAATTATCATGATAAAATGGTTAAAAAAAAAAAGTAATGACTGCAGTAAATTGTATCACAGCTTTTTATAATGTGTCGGTGTATGTCAATTTCAGCATAGTTGTTATGTACGATGTTGTGGCTGGTATGACTTCAGATATTATGTTGAAGTAAGTGGAAAATAACTGCATGGTTCTGAGTTACTCATATGTTTGAGATGATTGTCTATTAGGCCTTCTATGTAATTTGTATGTGACCTTGTCTGTCTTTCTTTTTGTGTGTGTTCATGTGTGTGCATGGTAATAAAGTAGAAGGTTTTGAAATCTTGCTGATCTATTTTTTTTTAACTCAGTTTATCAAAATTGATTTTTAAGTATCATTGTTGATTACTAATATATTACTAAGTCTAAAAGATACATAGATGTGTATCAGAGAGTTCTCCTTTTCATCATCCTCATTGAAATAAGTGTAGATATAGAAACTATTTTAGAAGAAAATATACTAAATGAATATCATTTATTTTAGCAGGAGAACTACTGACCTGAAATTTATGAAATAGTTCTTTTCATCTCTTTACCCAACAACTGCACATATTACATTTTAAAACAGTAACACTCCTTATGGGTTTAAGGGTTAAATATGGATAGAACTAAGAGATAATTCTGACTGATTTCACCTCTTTTCCATACCATTTTGATGATGTAGGAATGTCTACTGTAAACAAACTTTTATTCGCATGTGAGAAATATCCCAAGTTAAGTGACTTTGCTATACGTGTATTTGCAAATATTTTGCCACAAACTATTTATTTCATTGTGTACTTATGTAAAATACTTCCTCCCTCGTGATAGATTTCAAACTAACAAATCACCTAAGTTGCCGTGAATAGAAGTTGATTTACATTATTTTAGTTATTATAAATTTAAATAATTTTATTTTTCCCATGCTAGTAGAATTATGATTTTTTTTTTTAATTAGACATATTTGTAACAAAGCATTGTACTTTTTTGTAGGTGATGTTCCGGTTGAATTTTCTGGTTGTGGTGCTGTGTTTTGTGATGAACCGACCTTACCAGTTCTATTACTTTGTACCGCTGGTTTCCTTCTGGTTTACAGTAGTTTACTTAACCATGGCAATATGGCCAAGAATTTCAGCAGCTTCTAGTGATTGTAAGCCATTTCATATTTTAAAAACCTACTCGAGACTCCTAAAACTTTATTTTTCTCAGAAAGATAAATCAATAGAAGTTCTGTCAACCCTTGTTATCTTTGACTCAGTGGGACAGAGAAAAAAAACTTGGAGTCATTGAGTGTAGAATACATAAAGAAAAAGTTGTTTGGACTTCCCAGCTCACTTCGATTTATCCATGGTATTGGAGATACCGATGTTCAAGATACCAAAGTTCAACTGAATTAAGCTCCAAATTCTCATTCAAATAAAGAATACTATCTTTGATAAATTTGGTATTTGCTATTAATCTTTTTTTTTGTAGCAAGCAACTTACATTACCTGTATATGATAATTAAATTAATTATCCTGACCACTGTGATAACCCTCTTCTTTATGTCAGAGGTAGGTCAAATTAGATTTTTTTATCTATTAGAGTATTAAAAAGTTAGATTTATTTCAAATTAAACAACTAGTCAAGCCATGATGTTTAAAGAGCTTTGTTTTACATTGTGAAATCTCTTTTTTTCCAGGTTTTATTTGAGAAAGTATTTTTGATGAGGCCAATTAAAGCCCTGTTTGTTCGTTCAGACGATTCTCTACATGAGTGGAGGTTTAGATGGACATTAGATAGATATGTATGTATCCCTAGACTTAAATAAATTAATTTTATTTTTTTGTACATGTATTTCTACGATATTTAGCTTTATACTGCTACTTATCCTACACTATCCAACAGTTGAACATTCTCAAAGGAAACAAATGACAACTGTTTTTGTCATACATTTACGGAAAGTATTTGTACTGATCTATGCATTTTATATTTTCAGAGCGTAGTTTATGGGATGGTGTTTGCATTTGGCTACCATCTGTTACTGAAGAAAGGAGTGATATCAGACAACCACACTAACTCTCTCTTCTCTACAGGCGTATCCCTATGTCTCACTTTCCTGGGCTTCATAGGACTAGGGGTCAGTTATTTTAGCAGTTAGAAAATGTAGTATTTCAAACTGTGGTTGTTGACACTTTAATTTTTTTCTCACTAATAAATCTTGAAAGTTAGTACAGTTGTACTGTAAAAAATGAAGATTTCTAGTTTGTTATTTATTTACATACAATCCATGAACAGTATAATACTTTTAGATTGTCTCTCCTTTGTTTCAGAGCTATGCCATTTTTTCATTCCTGTGTAAGAACAAGACAGAGTGTAATGATACTCACTCCTACCTAGTAGCTCTACCTGTAAGTACTCAGATGTATTCTCTGTAAAAGATGGCCTCATCAATATATGTTAAATAAAGTTAAAGTTTTTTTTCTAAAAGCTTTCCCAGGTTTTTTTCAAGCTAGAGATTAGGGTGATGTTTCGGGTAAAAAAAATACAAAAATCTTTATTTATGGAAAAACGAACCTTTTTTGGTTGGTGATTGTGAACAAGAAGCCCTCAGTCCTAATTGTGAATTTACTGTCCCCTGGATCCAGATTTAGGCCTGTGGGACAGTGTACAGGGTAATTGGATTCAATGGATTGAATATTACCGGTACATGCACCTTTCAAATTCTTCTTTTTCACCCCTAAGTATCAAGCAGATAAATAGATAAATTGTTTACATTGATGACCAAACTTTTATAAAAAAAAAAACAAACAAACAAAACTTAATGTATCCCATGGGTACAGAGTTACTAGTGCTTTCCTGGATAAGTGAGAGACACTGTATGTTAAATTGTTACAAGAATCTATATCTCTACCAATTAGATATTCATATGATTTGATGTCCCCAGGTTCAGGTGATTGTTAAGGTTTACTGGCCCTTGATGCAAAAAGAGAGTTTGAATTATTTTAAATGAATGTAACTTGTAATCATATATCATGCAATCTCCATTAATGTTTACAGTTATTCTCCTACGTGATAGTCAGGAATGTACTAGGATGGGTGCGGACCAGATATAGCTCATTCTTTGCCTGGTTTGGTAAAATATCCTTAGAGGTAAGTTCTCTGGAAATATTTACCTGGCTTAAGCTCTTCTTTTATTGGAGGCTGAAAAGTTGTAATTTGCATCAATTATTGTCCATTGTGTTTAAAATGAAGTATGCATAGTGCTTTCAGTTCAATGAATGCATTGTCAGGCAACTGTTTTATCATGGCTGTGAATCATCTAATGTTTGTGTATTCTTTTATGTTTCAGCTGTTTATAGCTCAGTACCATATATGGCTGGCAGCAGACACCTACGGAGTTTTAGTCTTGATGCCTTCATATCCCGTGTTGAATGTGATAGTGACGTCTTTTATTTTTATCTGTGCTAGCCATGAAATTTCTAAAATAACTGGGACCTTAACAAATTATTTAGTGCCAAAGGAAGGGAAGGCATTGTTAAGAAACGCTATTATTTTCTTTATGATTATGCTTCCATTGTCTGTTACAAAAGGTGTTCTTCCGTTTTAGGAAATGTATTTTTTGTCCACTACTTTCTTTGATTGCAGGAGATATTTTAGAATTTGGATCTGTCCGTCTGTCATTCTGTCATTGTCCTTTAGCTTTTGCAATGTATTTTCATGTCGTAACTATGACTAAAAGAAAATCCCTATGAATTTGGATCTAAGATCAATCTCAGACACTCATTTTTTTTTTCATAAAGAGGTTATAGATAATGATTATATCTTTAGTCCTCTTTGAGCTTTTGTAATGAAACTTAAGGTGATGACTTCCTCCAAAAGAAAGACCCCAACTGATTTTGAGGCCTAAAAGGTGAAAGGTTAAGGTCAGAAATTCATATATGGTATAAAATGGTACACTTTAGTTTCAAGATGATATTCAGTAAAACTTGTCTAATCCAGAAGTTCTGTTATCGAAAATCTTGCTTATTATGATGTTAAATTTAATTTAATTGTTTGATATGTTGTGTAATCCGAAATGTTGTAGAATCCGGCCAATTTCTACGGAATCAGTGGTGTCCGGATTTGACAACTCTTGCGCTTTAGCTTTTGCAATGAAATTTTATATTTAACTACTTACATGCATAACTTTAAGAAAAACTTATTGTTTTTGAAGTTAAAAGTTCAAGGACTATGTTATGCATAAATTATCCCATGTGTCTAACTGTCTTTAATGTCCTAGTACATGTCTGACAAACTAGACAATGATTCCTTATATTTACATTTATGGCGGTCAGACAGGTTCGATCACCGCTGGCCAGATAGCTAGGTTGGTAGAGCACCTGAGTGGAGATTCAGGGGGCCGGGTTTAAGTCCTGGTCTGGTCCGTAGCATTTTCTCCTCCTTTGTTACATTTGGTGCCGTACCTTGCCCCGTAAGTGACAGGCAAAAGATCTGCCAGGGAAGAGCCTGGGTTGGTGTCTTCAGAGGGGAAGACCTATATGGAGGGAGGAATATGGTGGTCAGATGGGTTCGGTCGTCGCTGGCCAGATAGCCAAGTTGGTAGAGCACCTGATTGAAGATTCAGGGGACCCAGGTTCAAATCCCGATCTGGTCCATCACATTTTCTCCTCTTGTTTTACATATTTATGTTTGAAATAAAAAGATAAATTTAAAAATGCTGTCTAATAGATATGAAATACCTGAGGCAATCCATGTTAATTTCCATAGTCCCCACCTACTGACATCAGACACAATGACAGCCGCAGAAAATTATGACAGCCGCGGAAAATTGACATGATTTTAGGCACTTGACCTTTCACTTGGCGAAATAAACATTCAGTTGTAAACATTGAGAAATCAACACACTTAACTTTCATCACAGAGAAAGCAGTTGGAAATGTAAATATAAAATTTTGTTCTTAAAGGTGAGATGCAAGTTGCTTGAATTAGATTGATCTTTGCATTAATATGAATGTATTGTGTGTATGCTATTGAAGTCATTTGTTGTAATATTTTTGTTTTATTTATTTATGAAATGTATTTTGTAATAAATGTTACAACAAAAGTGCTTTTTATATTCTATTTATTTTTCATTTATACATGATGATGTACATTAATATGAATGTTAACCATTGAATTGTTTATAGGCTAGTATTATAATTTTCTATTCATTAAATATTTGTGTGCTCAATTATAATTACATGTATTATATTAACGAGGGTACTGTAAGCATTTTCTGAGTCAAAACCAAAAATACTGTTAAGTGTTCACTGATATAACACTTTTTGAAGTATGCTTGGAATGTACATGTAACTAGTCTTGTGTATATAAATTGTGAAACATTAACTATAGTTTTGTGTGTGAAGTTCAACCAAATCTGATATCTTAAAGGATATACCAGTACAGTTTATATGTATTTGTATGTTTGTGGTAGTCTATGAAAACTGTTAACAGTTTCACAAAACTTGTTAATTAGTACTTGAACCATTGCTTTGTTCTCAATCTTAACACTTCTTTCTTCTGTGAAAGTTTCATCTTTTTTGTTTTCTGTTTTTGGTAGAGACTTATTGTTTGGTTATACTGTACATATATATGATTGTATCTCTTTATGAATTGAATTTTGTAAATCAATTTATCAAATATCCTAATTTTCACTGCCCTCAAATTAAATACAAGTACAGGCGTATGTATGAAACTTTATTTTGAAGTAAGAAATTATAGAAATGTATGACTAACATTATTTTGAGGCATTATTTTGAACATTATTCCAACTATCTTAATGTGTCATAGGTAAAGTTTTGAAATAAAAATGAAATACTCATATAAAGTGTAATGATTCAGTATATTAAGAATTTCGTGTAGACCTTGCAAAAAAAAAAGAAAAAAAAAGGCTTACTTCAAGCCCAGTATGCATTTTTCTAGGGACCCCATATATTTCCTCATTGTCTCCAAATGCTTACATAATTTATCTCTGATTTTACAACAACTTTCATTTTTGGTAAGCAAAAGGAAACTGTTCTGTAGCCATTGTTTACATTGTCTTATAGCTGCTGTTGTGAAGTCAGTAACGAGACTCTTTATCAAGTCATGGAAAACAGTATACGGAATAGATATCTGTTCATCAGGTCGTTGAGGGGGATATGGATTTGCTATCTGATCACTACATCACATGAGGAAGATATGGAATTGATATCTGGTCAGTAGGTCACATGGAAAGGGATGCAATCGATATCTGGTCAGGTCGTGCAGGGGGAATATGGACTTAATATCTGGTCAGTTCATCACATGGAGGGGAGATATGGATTTGATATCTGATTTGTAAGTCATATGGAAGGGAATGTGGGATTGATATCTGGTCAGTAAGTCATATAGAGGGGGAAGTGGGATTGATCTCTGGTCAGTTAGTCATATGGAGGGGGATGTGGGATTGATATCTAGTCAGCAAGTCTCATGGAGAAAGATAATTTGGTGTGTGGTCAGTGCATCATGTGGAGTGGGATATGGACTTTCTATCTGGTCAGTAGGTCATGGGAGGATAGGGAATTGATATTTGGTCAATAGGTCAGGATGGGTTATGGAATTGATATCTGGTCAGTAGGTCACATGGAGGGGGAAATGAAATTGATATCTGGTCAGTAGGTCACATGGAGGGGGAAATGAAATTGATATCTGGTCAGTTGGTCACATGGAAGGGAGTATGGAATTGATATTTGATTTAGTAGGTCCCTTGGAGGGGAGGTAAGGGCTATCTAAGTAGTAAGTCACATGGAGGGGATATGGAATTGATATCTGGTCAGTAGGTCACATGGAGGGGAATATAAAATTGATATCTGATAAGTATGTCACTTGGAAGGGAGATAAGGGCTATCTATTAAGTAGGTCATATGAAGGAGGAGATGGATGGCATTGATATCTGATCAGTAAGTCAAGTGGAGGGTGATGTGGATTTGATATCTGGTTCATGTGGAGATACATGGATTCACTAACTGGCCAGTAGTTCATATGGAGGGATATATGGATTTAATATCTTGTCAGTAGGTTTGGAATAGATAATCTGGTCAGTAGGTCACATGGAGAGGGATATGTGTTTGACATCTGGTCAGTAGGTCAAGTAGAGGGGATATGGATTTGATATTTGGTCAGTAGGACACATTGAGGGGGATACAGAATTGATATCAATGATATTGATCTCTGGCTTTAATAGCTTTCTACCTTGGGAATGCTTTCAGCAAAGGTATCCAGTGAGTATGATTTAGGTTACAATTGAATTCTAAGTTTTACATTTTTAAAGGGACTTAAATATATGCAAATTCTGCATTCAAGATATGAGTATTTTGGCAAGGGTTTGCATCAAAATTTGGATGCCAGACATATCAAGAGTAATTTCCCATTGTTGCATTATTGAACCTGCTGAATTCTTTTCCTATAATCATAGTAAATAATTTTTACAAAAAAAAAAAAAAAACAAAAAAAAAACAAAAAAACAAACAACATTTTCTGAAAAATATCATTTTTTAATGGTATATATTGCACTTATTGTACAAGTATTCATTTTTAGAAAATAGTTTGATTGAAATATACACTGTATATATTAATGTAGCAATGTGATAAATAGTCAGAATATATGAACCAATCACAGGCTAGTATACACGATACTCATTGGAATGTATAATATCAAGACATGAGGAAATATCAGTGGTTATAAATAACAACATAACAAATAACAAACCCAAAGTTCAAATTAAGGTTTTACAGAATGATGGAAGAAAAATACAAAAGCTTATGGCAGTTGATTATTGTGAACATTTCCATTTAAAACCCTACATTAAATGGAAAAGGTGAAAAAAAAAAACAACCTTGAAAAAATATATATATCCTAGATTAAAATATCAGAATTAATGTAGTAGTGATTATGCATATATTTTATCTGTGAAATTCAATTACAGACTTCATTAGTTATATATCAGTTAATATGTTGCACAGTTTACCAGTCTGAAAATAAGTCCATAAGTATATCACATCCAGCAGAGAGTGTTACACATACTTAAATCAATTATGAAAATCATAGATCCTTTTTTTCCCTGAATTGACATTTATACTGAAAAATATGTCATTCATCAACATGCTCGACCATTTCAGGATAATCTTCCTCTTTAGTTTCTTCTCCATGAATTCGTTTTTCCCAGAAAGAAGCTCTAGCAGTTATACATCCTGACTTTATCCTCGTTTTCCCTTTAGGTTGAGCATCTGCTGAAGAAGCTCCAGGTTCATTCTGGGAAGGTGCTTTTGATCTTGACCCAGAGTCAGTCTGTGTCCTTGAAGCAGGAGTTACTGCTGCCTGTTTAATTTGTGAAGTAGGGGCTGGTGGGGCAGCTTTGGTTTTAGTACTAGGTACTGCCTTTGTAGATGTGACATTTTGAGTTTTCTGCTGGGAAGAATCGGGAAAAAATTCTCCTTTCTTTTCAGGAAAGATTTGAGTAGGTTCAGCATTCAGCTGTTTCGTCCCTGGATGTTTGGAGGTCAAGGTCACAGTAAGAGTGCTCTTTCCTGGGGTGGGTTGCTTTGGTGATTGTACAGGTTTAGTTAAGGGGGATGAAAGGTTTCGGTATTTATCTAGCTTCTCTTTAGGAACACTGCGACCAGTGATACTGTGTACCTAAAAATCATCCAGGAATATTATTTCTGATTCATTACAAATGCTTTAACCAATATTACACATGCATGAACTACATGTATTTGCTTTAACTGGTTACAAGTTTAAAAAGTCATGAAATAAGTTTTTTTTTTTTTTTTTTAGCAAGTTCAATTTTAAAATACATGTACGTATATGAATTCATTATAAATGAGTGATTTTTTGGTGAAAAGATCATTTTTGCAAACTTAATGTAAATTGTAAGGATACTGTAAAGCATAATAAAATAAAATTTAAATGAAAGAAAATGAAAACATATGAACTCTAATTATAATCAAATGTAGGAAAATTAACATATGAAAATAAAGGAAAATAAATTAAATATATATAATAAATGAATATACAATTATTAAATATATTTCAAGCTGTATTTCTTAAGAGAAGTATACATGTATAAAATAAAATATACATAATTACATTTGTGTTATGAAACCTGAAATTGTTCAATACTTGTTTATACCAACCTGTTTCTTGAGATGTTTCTTCAGATTTGCATGAGTTCAATTAAATTATGTTAAACTCTCAACAAAATCTACTGGAATTAGAACCAGATTGATTTCTAACGCGTTAAAAACACCCAAGAACCAAATCCATAATCTTATGTGCCACTACTATAGTTGATTTTTAAAAGTATTTGCAACCTTATAAATTGTGACCTCCCCACCCTTTTGTTTGGAAAAAAAAAATAATCAAGAGGAATGAAACAATTTCAAACAAACAAACAAAACAGAAAGGTATGTGTGATATTGTGAAAGGAACAGTATATAGTGTGTAACAAGTTTTTAATGCCTACATTAAGAAATAAAAGTCACCAACTGATATAAGCAGATTTTAGAAAACTACAAATAAACAGCTAGAATTTTTTTTTGTCCTTCAAAGTAAAAGCCTGCATGGTCAACTGAAATATTTAGCATGAAATAGAGATACAGAACACTAATAGTCTACTGAATCCATCTGGTTCTAAATTTATGTCATTCCATGCTACAGTTGTATTTTTCTCTTCAGCAAACCTAATTAATAAGCACTCCTCATTTTTTTAAACCCATAAGATCATAATTTATTCAACTGCTTCATTAGTAATATTACCCAAACTTTTGCCCATCTTCAAATTAAATTTTGAAAAGCATCAATATTTCTATTCAATCTATGCCCATTTCACTTCAAACTGCAAATCTGCCACATATATGTAGAAAAGAGAAATTGTATACTGTCATTTAACATTTAATTTTCATTCTTGCAATATACATAAAATCTTTACCCTAAACTTTGTAAATAATTATAAAGAGTGTTTATACATAGAATACAAAAAAGAACCTTTTTTGTACATCAAGTAATTTTTCATGCATGTGACAAATTTGCAAATATTTTTAAAATTTCAAGATATGGTGCCAAATTCCAATCCAAAAGCTTGGCCATCTCTTAGATCTCATCTTTTCTCTAATTTCCATGTAGCATGAAATTCTAACAGAATCAATACAAAAGGTTGTTAAGTTTTAAAGCACACATCTATCTGTTGTGTAATGGCTACTCACCCCTGAGCTTAGAACATTTTCAAACTGTAAATTACGTATCAAAAGTTAGGCTTGCATGCAAAGTGTACTAAATTGCACTTGGGTATACAATGAAACATAAGCAAAGGATGTTCTGTCAAAAAATAGCTCTTTGCAGAGGAACTTTTATATAGAAAGTTAAAAGTCAAATATAAGTTCCATGTACATAAATTCTTTTGAAATAATTTTGGTAATCATAATTTTTTTTTTCTCCCACAGGAGAAAATATAAATATATATATAGCAAATAGTAAATAAATGACATTTTGGAAATTTTTATTAAGAAATGAAGAATTTGTAACAAGAATAAGTTATATACCACAAACTTTAACAAGCAACAACCCTATATCTATAACAATAAAAATACATAGGAATTCTACTACTATCTTGTATGCACCATGGTTTGAAAAAAAAAGCACCATGACTCTTGACTAGAATTACATACATTCATTTTAAACATATTCATATCAAGAGATTCATTGGGTTAATATTTCTTATTGACAAATCTGTCATAATTATTCTAATACTTACTTTAATAAAAAATATGAAATCTAGCTATAAAATAATTTTCCATATGAAGTCGCGCCTAGTTAATCCCGACGCCTGCGTTCTCGAGCAAATCATCCAGATTAATTAATGAAGAGTTTGGATTAATGAAACATACTTGGTAGATATAAATATAAATTGTTCCTCAAATATTTCATCTGGATGGTCTGGATTACTGGCATTCGGACTAATGAGGCTACACTGTACTCTGACTGATTATAAAAATTAATGAAGAATATAATGGCACCTTAATGTAAATTTAACTAAAAGCTCATTAATAACAGGATACAAAGAATGGGATGGAAGGTAACAACCAACACCATAGGATAAAATGTCTCAAATTAAAAAAAAAAATGTTAATTACAAATTTTCATTTAATTAATTATTTTTTAGATCAAAGTTTAAGTTAGTACATGGGGGGAATGGATATGCTAAAAGGTTGTAGTAAAGGAAAAGAGGAGGGGACAAGATTTCTAATCTAAGCCTAGAAAATGATAAGCTCTTAATTAAGATGGATGCAGAAAATTTACGTTTATTGTAAGAATTTTTCCCTCATTGATCACAATTAAAAAGATTACTAGTATTTTTTTGCTGATCATCCATCTTATGAGCCATTTTACTGCAATGAACTAGTTTAATGTAGCATAAATGATATTAATTAAGCCAATATATGATTCCAACTTCAAGCTTTTTTAGCACCAGTAAGACAGAATGTTCTCTTCTTTTTTTTTCAGAAAAAAAAAATTGCTGCTTAGCTTATTATTTCTTGAAGAACATCAGCTCTGTGAACATGTGGCTGTGATGTTCATGCAGATTTTGTGAACACATTTTTTTGTGAGACACATTTGAAGTGATGCAATATACTTCACACACTAGTTCTTAAATGACATTGAAAAATATGTGAAAAATAGGTGAATACATGTAATATCTTATGAGATGTGATTACACAATGTTTGTTAGCATTCAAGTGAATGTTAGTCAATAAGCAACCGCCACCATTTTTTCACTAGCTATAACTTGGCAACATGCTAAAAGTTAATGTCTGCTAACCCGCTTCACTGATGCGGAGTCGTCTCCCTTCCCGGCGTTGAACAGTGACTTTAAGCGGTTCACAGAGGGCAGCTCAATAGCTCCCATTTCTTCGTTGAACTCTGTGCGACTCTCCGGAATGTCCCTTTCGCTGGTTTCTCCAATCATCTGTGTCTGCTGGGGTTTTTCTCGGATGGAGGAGAATCCAGAGTCTATGGAGAGACTCGGGGATAGGCTGCTGATGCTCCCCTCCGTGGTGTGTCCGGTGGTGATTGACGGACAGCTGTTCAAATCCAACTGCTGCTCGACACTGATGACCTAATGTACATAAATAACAGTCATTAATGTGTATACAAAAAAATAATAAAAAGAAAAAAAAACAGATATGGTTTGTGACATGCTAATAAAAAGTAAAAATGGCCAGTAACTGGCCAGTAGGTCATATGGAGAGAAAGTAAAAATGCTGCAATATATCTACACATGTACAGTAAAACTGTGCATCCATTTTTGTAAAAATAATAATAATATAATGAAATGTTAAGAATATCAAAGGTCATATATACATTAAGGTTGCATAGGATTTTTTTGTGTTTTTGTGAGAATACATGATTTTTAAATGCTAGAAACAAATTAAAATGATGAATCGGGTACAGATCAAAACAAGCAGAGTAGCTTTAATATAAATCTGATAGGTATTACACAAACACATCTAACTGTACAACAAAAAAACTTGATCACATTAAGAAATTTCAGAGTACAGAAAAACAGCATCTCAAAAAAACCTAGAGAGAAGATATATTTTGCTGAGCTAGAAGGGCATAAAAAACTAAAGGCTGCATTTCAGCAACAACATGCAGGTCTTACACGTTGCTCAGTGAGGTTTGTGTGTGCCACAACAAGTGCCACCTCATCTTCTAGGTCTTGCAGCTTTCTCTTTTGTGACAGGGGTGTGTGACTTAACCTATACTCTAGGTTGTGAATTTGTTCCTCCAGATTACAGATGTGACTGTACGTTATGTATATCTGTGGCACAAAAATTAGCAACAAAACATGCTACATTTTTTTCAATTTTCCACAAGTGTATTCAAATTTGATTCTCAAATATAGCTTCAAAAAAAGTTTAATACACTGCAATATGCACCATTCCTGAATTCATAGATGATATCTAATTTAATAGACCCTAATGCTATGATTAAACCTTTTAAATGTCTTTTTTCCCTAGGATAAGATAACCCAGTTGTTGTAAATGACCTACATGGGTGAAATGTAACCCCCATCCCCGGTAATCCTCAGTTTTATAGCTATATATACCCACCTCCTCCTCTGCTGCCTCCAAACTCTCCTGGGTCATGACTTTTCCTCCTCGAGGAGAGTACTGTGGAAGCTTCACCTCCCAGTGTCTGGGAGAATTTTTCTTCTCTCCCTGCACATAAAAATCTCTTCCATACATTTCCCCAGAAACCTCCTTGGAACCGAAATTGATCACCATTGGTTCTTCATTTTCATTGGATAAATTACTCCTTTCCACAAACTCTTCATTCTCATTGGATAAATCACTGCTTTTCACAGATTCCTGAAGTGTTCTTGAGGCAGGTTCTATCACAGTTTCTGAGGTCAAGGGTTTATTGTCTGTCACTTCAGAGTGTTCAGAGAAATCTAGGGGTGGGACTTTTGTTAGAGGTACTGGAGTAACATTGTCCATTTGCCTCTCGGAGGACTTCATTAGATTGTTATTTTCCTGGTCCTCTTGAGAACTGGAAGACGAGGTTCTCTCCCTGGGAGAGTTTGTAGTAAACAGATCCTCCTCAGGTTGGGAATGGATGAGATTTTCAGTGGATTTCAACAGTTGTAAAGCAGACGAGGTGGTGTTGCGTAGATTTGAAGCTGCATCCTTCTGCATGAAGAAAGTGTTAGTTTAGCGTTAAAATGCAAAGTTTTTTGTTTTTGTTTTTTGCTTTTGCATCAATTAAGGGACTATGTATTTTCAAATATTTCTTTCCAAAAATTATTAAATTTACCACATAGTAACTTTAAACTTATTAATAAGTAGCTTTAACTTTACTTTACTTTAAAATTATAGAGAAATCAGAAATTTTTTTCAATGAAAGGAGTTAGCAAAACAGGCTATTTGGAAAGTGCATACACATGCAAAACCAAACAATCACAGAAATCCTCCCAGTAACTACCCAGAATGTTGTGTGGTCAGCTCTTACCATGCTGTTATAACTCTCCACACTCTTACGGAGATCATGTTTAAGCATGGGGTCCTCATCTGCAAACTCTGAGGGAGGAGAAGGGTGAGGAGTTGAGGACACTTCTATCTCAGCCTCAAATGAGGAGAGCATGGCATCAAACTGATCCAGTGAAGAGTGCATTTCAGCCAGCTGTTAGTGCAAATGTACCCAAAGCATTAGTCACCCATCACCCAAGAATGAGAGAAAGTCAGACAAGACACAAACTAGTAGTAAGGTGTTTTACGTGAAGCCCCATCAGAATTCAAGTGTCACTTTTTTCTTGGAAATATTTAAATATGTTTTAATATCTATTTTTTAAAAAAATATACCGGTACAATGAGAATTTTATCCTTACATTTGTATTTTCATTTTTCAGTAGTTTGATGTACAAGTAATTGAAGTTTCAAAAGAAAAGTTTCATAACATTCGAACTGTAGCAGATGATAGAGTGTATGTCTAACTAGAAATTCATTCATTATCTTGAACTGGATAGGAATGAAAAATATTTTGAAAGGTTTTCAGATTTTTAAGTTAAAATACATAAAGAAAAAGTGTTTGAGAACTCCAACTCTTTTTTACAAATCCATGGTTTTCTCAAGATATGGATGTTCAAGGCATCAAAGTTAAACTGTATTTATCCAAGTGACCTTTGCTCTAGATGGGATTATTTAATTGAATAAATGAAACAATCTAATTAAAATTAGATGTTATATCCACTCTACACTAGTGTAGTAAGTATGTGACTGGATCTAACATCTAATTTGATTTAGATTACAAATGAAATAGCTGGCTATTACATATTAACCCACAGAAACAGTTGTTGTGTTAGTTAATTAACACTGTGCTAATTATACTGACCTTGTTGGCCGACTCCATCATACTCTCACTCTCCTCCTGCACTTTCTCATGGGTCATAAACAACTTCCTCCCCATGTTGGACAGCTGCTGGTCATCCTTGTTTTTGATTGGTGTAGAGCTGATCACTTTTGTCTTGGGAGAGGAGTCTGCATAAAAAAATTATGAAATTAAAATTCAGATTCTCTTTATATGCTTCATACAAATACCAGTATATGGATAAAACTATTTTTAGCCATAAACTTTGATATGAATAGCATTAGTTTTAAACACTACTAAGACTATATTTTGGTGAATACCAAGTTCCTTGGACTGAACAATCAGCTGAGCTGTTGATTTCGTTTCCCCAGCAACATTCTTGGCAACAACCCAATATTCAGCATCCTCCTCAGGGGTGGCATATTCTATATTTAAAAGGTAATCCCTGTTTCCAAACTTCTCTGAAAAACAATAACAAGTAAATAAAGATAACTTACAATTTACCAATATATCTCTTTTTGAAAGACGTACATCTGCTAAAAAAAAAAATGGAAAAAAAATGTTGAACACATAGAATAGATGATACTGAACACATACCTATCTTGAAGTTTGAACCATTTTTCAGTAAATTTCCATCTTTGTACCAAACAACTCTTGGAAGTGGATAACCTTTGACTTTTGCCCTGAATTTGACATGTTGACCTTCCTTGACCTCTTGATCTTCAATTTCTTTCAAAAATTCTGGTTTCTTCATTTCTTGGTTATTGTCTGCAAAAACACAGAAAATGTCATATCTCTACAAAGTTTGGGGGGAAAAATTATCAATTAGATTTTGAGATAATTTCTGGGCTACAGACACAGGGAAAGACGGGCATCTAAAAAGTTAAGACAGTCAGACATATGGACAAAGTGATTCCAATATACAGCAATTTAATTTCATTTGAATGGGGGTTTAACAATCTTTGCATTGCACTGATTGTCTTACTTTTAACTTTGAGGATAAAGGACTGCGAGCAGTGTGCTTTCTCGTTGATTGCCATACACATCAGCTGGCCGGCCATATGTTTGGCCGTGTTGAACACCGTAGCACCATGTCTGTTGTGATCCTGAGTGAACTCATAATCTTCCGAGTCCTCCAGTTGTTGTAGATCCCCATCCTCCACTCTGTACCATATCACTTCTGTTAATAATAATAGAAAATAATAATATCTATCCATCTTTCTCTCTCTATCCCTAATATAACTTGAGTTATTTCCCTTTGTTAACATTAGAGGTAATTTGTTGCATATTCAAATATTTACACATCCAGATGTCCAGGTGTGACAGGATTGTGAAAAAAAGAGAGAAATTATTGACTGAATTGATTTGGAAGGAAAACATTTTTCAAATAAATGCAGCCTGTTGCATGATGGATTTAAGTGTCATAAATTTCTGAACAAGATAAATTGTTTTGCTGGAAACAGGTTAAACACGATGATTAGAGTTTACAGAGATTGTCCCAGAAAATTCAATTTCTTCACATTTTCATGTAATTACATTAAACTCTCATTTTCATATCATTTTCTAATGGGGGTTTGAGGGTGGTGGTGGTGGTGGGGGGGGGGGGGGGGGTTAGTACAACTTTACCTATGGGTTCAGTTCCACTGACTCTGCAGCTGAATTTGGCTGGTTCCCCCTCCTTTACTGTTACACTCTCTGGTGGGATATCAAACTTTGGATCATCTCCCTCTGCCGGAATCAGTTCCTCAATGTAGGTAGGCTCAGTTTTAGCAGTGCTGGTACTGGTATATTTAGAGATAGATGTGTCTATAGATGTGTCTGAATCCACCGTTTGGACACTGGTGGAAGAGAGGGGTCGGGGGTGAGGGGAGGATGACATCATCCGGGTTGTGATCCTCGCAATTTCATCCACAGATTTGGCAAAGAATGAAACTTCATCGTCCATCAGATTTTCTTCATGACCTTCGGAAAGGTCATCTGACATTTGGTCTACATCCCTGTGAATAACAATCAAATGAAGGTAGATACACATTTTATCAATCTACTCACAAATCAAATTTTAAAAATGTTCTTAAATTTTCACTAATTCAATTTTTATCCTACCTTGAAAAGGCAAAAAAGAGTTTCAATAATATAAACCAAAACATTTTCAGCAATTTTTGACAAAGTTTATAACTTAAGGATCCACTGAATTACATAATCTCTCAGATACACTAAACAATCTCATGGATTCCTTTAAATCTGTGCAACTACCTGACTGCAATAGCATTTTGTGAATAAAGATTCAAGGTTGTGCAAAGAAACTGGGTCATTAAAATGCAAGATATAGTCCAAAAAGAATAAAATCTCCCACTGATTTGTCAATACATAGCTCAATACCCACCCAATACATATTATATCATGTAAATCAAAGAGATTTAACATACAAAGGTGTTTTTTTTTTAAGAAGAAGAATGCAAGGTAGAAGACATGGAACATACAACAAATAAAAGACATGTGCCACAAAGAAAAAAAACAAAATTTTGAGTGTGATGAAAAATTTGAGTGTATTAAAAAAAATGTGAATACACTCGGTGCACTTGCCTGGATTCTCCCTTTTCCTGATCAGCACTAAAAAAGGTGCAGCATAACAAAATAAAACATACTGTTGTAAACTTTCACTTTGGAAAATTACTTTAAATTAACAATGTCATTAATCTGCTAATAATTCCAAAGATCATCTATATTCATTAATTCTTCACAGATTCAATGACTTTTCATTTAGAGTAATTTTCATACAGGTTATCTAAAGTTATCGAGGACAATTTTGTAAGGTTTTATTGTACAGTCAGACCTTAGCATCTCAAACATAGCGGGACTATTTTATGTTTATAATTTTGTATTCGAACAAAAAGGAAAATGAGTGGGAGTCTTGATAGTCTCCAAATTAACAGACTCCCTTGCCATAACCCATCTACTTTTCCATTAGAATTTTATGACCCTGACAAACTTTTCATGCAATTTTTCTAGTGACCTTGACTTAGTGTCTAAGCCCGAGTCAGGCTCATGATTACATTGTTGGGTCATGGGTCAATTTTTTTGATGAGAGTATGAACTTATAATTTTCCTCAGTTACCAAGTTATGACCAGCCAAAGAAAATCATATTTTCCCTCTCTATGACATTGTCTGTGTCCAAATGACCTTGTGAAATTGATGTGATTGGCGGTCGGGTCTTAAGCAGCCTTACCATTATGCTTGAAAATGTACTGAAATTTACCTGTTCATGCAATTTACAGTTACTTTACAGGAGAGCATTGAATTTTCAATTTTTAACTAAACCAGTTTCACATAAAACAGAAAAACTTCACTGTGGTGCCATGCAATAAAACAACTTCATTAAACCTACCCAAACAGATAAACAACCCACACACCTATAAATCCCCAACCATTTAAACAGCCTTAAAGAAAATTAAATGCAAGCTATATTTCACGAGATGAATTATTGAAATACTCCTAGCTCCCATACCTGTTTCCAACTCGAGCTGTGATGTCATCATCTGGCTGGGGGATGGTGAGGTACACTTCATCTAGTGACCTCCCTGCCAGACCCCCACCCCCCAGGCTGGAGAAGGGGGAGAGGCCAGATTTGTTAAAGATCCAGTTATCTCGCCAACTTTTCTCTGTAGGAGATAATACATATTAGGATAATCTAATATTCCTGTTTTATACTTGTAGACTTTTCATGATTGAACATGAGGAAGTTTCTGGTCCCTAGAGTAATATCTTAATATATACTGACCTCCATTAAACCTGGGATGTAAGGACACACCCTCCTCATTCTCCTCCTCTTGGAAGTCCTCCTCATCCTCCTCAAGAATCGGTGCAAGATTCATGGATAACAGATCTGGGTCCACCTCATTTTGAAAGAATTCGTTATCCTCATAATCCTCCGAAAAGTCAGGAAGTGAATATTTCTCTGTGTCATGCAAACGGTCGTATGTAGACAACCGTGACACAAACTCACTTTTTGATTCGTCACGATTCACTGTCACAGGTTCAATTGGTTCCTCATCGAATTCAATTTCTTCCTGAATGTCATGAGCCTGAACTCTATGTCGAGGTGATTTAATATCTTTGGCAATGCGTTTTAGCTGTTCAAAGTCCTGTTGTAAGTTATCGGCGTGAACACTTTCTGTGGTAATATCCTCTTCTTCCACCTCTTCCTCTCCTGAAAATCTTTGATCCACTCCTTCACCATCCACTATGTCCTCACTCAAATGATTTTCAACGTCAAGGTCGTTTACACTTATCACTTCATAACTACTGTCATCGAGAGGTTCGTGTACTGGCCTTGATATATCCCTGGAAACTCTATCCTCCACTGGATGTAACCTATTTTCTGAATCACTCACAGATTCATTCACATCCAACTCGTCCACATCAAATCCGCCCGAATCAGCGAATCCTAATAGCGAGCGGCGCTCGACTTTAGTCACCACACTATTTTCCTCATCTGATGAGGCACCGCGACTTGCGAGATCTGGGTGAGATTTGTTGTCTGAGGAATGAGATCGTCCATCGGACACTTGATTTGTTAAAGCATTTCCATCTATAAAGTCTAATGGAATGTCTATATTTCTATCTCTGCCAAAATTTTCTAGTACCTAAAAACGAAGAAAAAGAAATTAACTTATTTTCATTCACTATCCATTACAAAGTTCATTATTGCTATTATTACATATAAAAATGATTGAAGACAAGGACATAAATTGCACAGGTGACTCAACATTTCCTTACGAGCCTTGTATACAATATTATAATGAAATCTTCAAAGAAATATTTTATTCCAACAGGAAGTATAAAATTTAACCTTACTGTTAAAATAACAAAGTAAATATGCACTAGAATGCACACAACTATTATTTCTGATGTGTCCAACATGGTGATCAAAATCCAAAAGACAGTGTAGTCCCTCATTTAATGTTGTTCATTTATTACGGAGAAATTAATTTCATTCTACTTTGTTGCATGATCACATTTTTTTGCATTTTTTTTAAAAAGCCCAATTCCTTTTTCATTCTTTTTGGAAATAGAAAATCCATCCAGAACTTTTCAAGATTTAATTTTTAATTCCCAGCGAAAAATTCTCCATTTGAAAATCATACATGTAAAGAAGCAAACAAACTAATTAAACCAGTCTCCATATATATTTGTTTGCAACTGTTTTCCAATCAGCACAAATTATAAAAGCCTCAGAAGAAACCAGTGTTTCATAAATTGTAAAGATCGAGCGAAAAAAACTTATGAAAGAACGTCCTTTGCTTATGTCCTCTAGTTCATGTATTATGACACCTATCTATCTACATGATGGCCTCCAAGATCTATCACTGACAAAGGAGGATCTTTTGATTTAGGGCACTCTTCACATACGTTTTCTATGTAAATATCAACTTTAGATTATATGGTTCAATTAAGTGACAAAATATAAAGATGGGGGTCGCACATAAATTTACTTTATCCAATTCCCAAGGTCAAAGGATATGTACTGTAGATTTCCAAAGGTTCTAAACTTCTAATGGCTGCAATATTTCATTTTTAACTGTCATTTAGTGTTATCTTTGAATTTATCATTAGCTTTTAGTGACATCAAACATGATGGTCACTTTACTTAAGAATAATGTCAACAACAATAACATTAATTCCATCTTCAAAAGGAAAAGCAAATTAAACTGTGGCTTAAGATAATGACCAATACTGTCTTAAATTCTTTTCATTTAAAAAAGCTGGCCAAATACAGATTCGTCATATATGAAAAAGTAGAGAAATGCATGTTGGGTAAAATCTGCAGAATAAAGGGAGATAATGACTGTTGATTGTATAAACTTACCCTGGCTACCACAGCATGAGCGAGCTGATCCTCGAATGATTTCACTTGGTGGTCACAGGAATCATCCGATAGTGAGGACAGATCTGAGACAGCTTCATCAGAGGTCTATAAATAAAATAATTAACAGGTTTATTTTGTAGATTTTTTAATGAATAAATTAAAAAAATAATACTTTGTCAGGAAAAACAAATTACAGCTTATTTAATGCCTTGGGAAATTTTTATCTACAGTTAAAGGGAAATAAAGCAACATCCTTATTAGAAAAGACAAGATTTATACTTTATCAGATTCATCTAATAAAGCAATGGTTCGTAAAAACTCAGCTAGGTGCCATAATTCTTCATATAAAGCAATTTTATAATGCTTGCAAAAATCAAAATTTTTCTTCAAACATATTCCATAGGGGAAAAAAATTGATAAAAAGTGGACACTCAGTTTAAAACCCTATCATAGGATACAAACCCGTTTACAATTAATGTACGTTCAGCATAATAAATTGCACCTTCAAATGGAATTTTAGTTTTAAAAGACACACTGATTTCTTCATCATATATACATATAATCATTTAAGAGCACATTTTACAGAAATGCATTCTGAATATTTCTTACTAAAATTGGAAATAAATAATGTTACCTGAAATTGCAGGTGTATGGCCAAGTATCAATGCAAATTAATGGCTATCAATAAGGGAGCATATCAAAAGTGTTCTTACATAGTAACCAAACCCATAATAAATCCCTCACTAAAATGTTCTAAAATAATTCATAACTACCAGTTTTTCCTAAATGTAACGTGTTCTAGAAAGGTTGGCCAAAAAACAAACTTCATAGATGTATATCATGAATTATTTTAAAACAAGCATGAATTAAACATCAGGGACCAAAATGAGACCTATGATACAACCCCTACAGATAAAACATAGGGATATCATTAGTTGGTATGATGACAAAGCTACTGAACTGATACAATCTACCTGTACATAGGGACTAACAGGGCAACTTAACATGTCAATATTTATCTGTTTAAGTAGACATTAAACAGGAATAAATTGACCAAACAAGGAAATGTTGCATAATGGATTACAGGAAAGGGAGATGACTCTGCATGATGACTTTAAATAAGGGGAGTTGTGGACCAGTGAAAGGAGATAAGATTCTGGAAATACAGATATAATGCTATGACAATATGTTTCTAGAAGAAAAATTCATTTCAACAACACTTTGCATCCATATACTGGTGCAGTCCAAAATAGGAATAAATATGAGAGTGCAATTGCATTAATCATACATGTATATGCAATGGTATTTTTAGATTACTATTTTGGAGAGAATGCATGATATTTTAGGATTGAACCAGCTGCTTTCTATGTTCAGAAAGAATGTCCAATTGAGTCATTCAAGTTTTATCATACTTTTACACCTTTTTTATGGGCAGAAATTAGTACTGCCACTCAGAAACACAAGATAATTAGGTATACCAAAATAGATAAACTTTAATATCCCACATAAATGCTAATTTAACCACAGAAAAATAGTTTTCAATTTTAGTCATTCATAACACATTTTTGTGGTCACAATTTCCTCCTGAATGGGATTCAAAGTGAACAATGCAAATAAAGCTCAACAATTGCTTTTAATTAAGGCAGCATCTTAATTAATACTATAGGGCTGTTTAATTCTGATTAATAGACCTTATAATGATAGTATCAATTTCAATCTTTTTTTGTATTTTCTTAATAAATAAAGCTAAATCTTATTGTAAAAAACTGTTTCCTAGTTCATAGGGTTATAATTGCTACATTTTCGAAATGTCTATGTGATTTGTCCCCACCTTAATAATGTCACCAGTATATGCAATTCCTCATTTCCATTAGAACTTAATGTTAAACACAATGATTCATTGGTACAGCAATACTAATATCTGATACAACATTGCCACATACTGAACAGTTCCACTTCCACTCTTCTTTAAGATACTCACAACGTCAATGGACTCTCCAAAACTCTCTTCTACCAACTTGGAGACCAGTTTTTTCACCTTCTGAGCAGTGTCCACAGCTGACTGGGAAGGGGTACTGTCAAAACCTGAAGTGTACAAATATTAATTAAAATGAAGACATAATTAAATTAAAATTATTAATTCTCTCTCTCATGAAACTACATCACTGTTGAGGTAGTCATTTTGTAATGTCTTTTTTTATATGTACTTTATTTGCTCATAATCAATAAAATATGTTATTTCTTTTCTATATACATGTACTTTTGCTCATAGTCTATAAAATATGTTCCTATTACATCTGCCGTGACCCCTCTGTATTAAGTCGAATGTTGATGAAAAAGATGATTACGACAAATAGTGAAAAATACTGGTACTGAAAAAAAAAACAACATCTGTTATCGATGTTTTGTCAGAAATTTTATTCTTTTGAAAACTTTTTGTGCTAATTAAAAAATGTGGACATTTGATCAGTTTTGGTGTAATTTTTTTTTTTTATCTATATATAGATTCAACCTTAGTAAAAATTTCCAGCTGAAAACCATGTGTCTTGGATCCAATAAAACTTAAATGAAAAAAATTTATCTTCGAGTAAAAATGACAGGTTTATGATTTGCGAGCTAGTTAAAGGTTATGATTAGATGTTGACAAGAACAAATAGGTATAACACCGCAAAGTGGTCAAGTTAAAGAGTCCTCAAAGAGACAAGTTATCATAAGCACTTAGTCGCTACTGATAAACGCCTACCCATAAAAGGATTTTCTCTTGGGGGTCTACACTAAAGTTTCAGACAATTAGAGTGCTTCTGACCATAAATATCCCAAGTACCTGGCAAGAATGCCTCAATATCAAATTGGGTGGGTGTTCAAGTTTGAAATCCTCCCCCAAAATATTTGTTTTAGGATTTTGTTCGGATTGAAGGGAACCAGAAAACAGGGCCCTTACCTGGTGTATATTTCTCTATTATACTCATGAAAATTTTTAAGTTGAACACTAAGGGTTTCATTAAGTAGGTCAGATTACAGAAAAAATCAGGTACTCATTAATGAAGTAAGGGGATAATAAAATGTATTTAAAATCACTTTTCCTTGAAGGGTATTTATCTTGTAGTGAAATAGACACCTTTTTATCCAAATCCAACATTTATTTAAAAATTTAAATGTGTGCCAAAGATTCTAAAAACACCTACCCGTTTTGCTGGCATTTTAGATTATGAACTTTTACCACTTGTTTGATATTTGTTAAGTGTCTCTGTGATCTAACAAAAAAGTAAATTTCTACAAATTGACCCCCGTTTCAAAAAGATATTTTTCCTTATTCCTTTTTGAAGTCCATCTAATCACATTTCCTTAATAGAAAAGATTTTTTTTTTTAAATAGTACACCCTTGCTAGCAACCAAGACACAAATGTAAACCCATTGCAATTTTTCAATAACATATGTCTTCTTTAAGTTTTTTTTAACCTACTTTCCACAGCCATTTCCAAGCGTTGCGAGACACCGACCAATAATTCTCGTAACCGTGACCTGTACTTCTCTAAAACTTCCCCATCTACAACAACAACGAGAAAATGTGCTGTGTAAAAAATGGACATAAAAAAACAACATTTTTTTAAAACAACAGTTCAGTACATATCATTGAAATCCACTATCCCTACTGGATTTCAATCAAATTGTTCCTTTCTATGAATGAATGACTTTGCCTTATCTTCAGGAAAAAATTAATTAATAATCTTCAAAGTAGTCTTGGATACAAAGTTTTGTAATACAAACATATATATCACACTCTATCAGATGCAAAATTCAATTTGGTACTGCATTACAATGGCATGCAGGTAGAATATTTCTTAATTTGCAAAGTAATGATTTTCTTTAATCAAACTCCATACATAATACATTACATTAGGAGGCTGACTTCTATTGATTTCCAGCTTTTGACAGTATACTCTAAACCCATTGTCAGTTTTCCCATTCTACAGTCATTATGTTATTTATAGACAAGGGATACCTACATGAGGTACTGCCGTAACTCGAACCTCCATTGAGGACAGGTTGTTCTAGAGACTGGTAAAGCTCCTGGAGGAGGGAGTCAAACTTATAGTTGAATTTCTTTTCCTCCGTTTCTTTGTAGTGCTCAAATGCCTCTTTGTATATATCTGAAAACATTTAAATCATTATACTCAATTTTTCAACTCTTCTAACTTCAGATCATGGAATAAATCTCTTTAAAAAAGTGATACATCAACAAAGTTAATGATCTAATTGTTTTCTGTATTCGTCTTATAGAGCCACATGTTCTTTCATAAATTCAGTACAGCAAAAACTTCAGAATTTCAATTATCCTCAATCCCTTACACACATACATCCCATCCACCCACCTACCCTCCCCTTTCTTCAACCTACCCTCCAACTTCACCCACCCATTCCCCATCTACCATCCAATTTCACCTACCCATACCCCATCAACCCTCCCCTTTCATCCACCCATTTGTTACCCAATATGTCCTTAAATCTCTGATTTGTTGTGTTATACAGTACCTTCTTTACTTTTTTCCTTGGGTATGTTGTCCACTTGAACTTCAGCAGTGCTGCTGCTGCTGTTGTTAACGTTGTTGTTGTTGTTGTAGTTTTTCTTGTTGTCATGGTTCAGCGTTTCCACAGAAGTTGCACGAGAAACAGTAGTTGTTGTAATGGGAGCTGGTCCTATGGACTCAATTTCTGAAAAATGAGATTCAGGATTTTTATAAGAGCTAGCTTTTACATTGTTCTGTATCACCCTTAACACGAAATGACATTTTCCTTTTTCTTATTTTTTTTTGGAAGGTATTAAAAGTTGCATCCTAAAAAGTGCATATACATGTACTATATTGCACAGCTCTATTGTACAACTGATCTTCAATTCTCAGATTGTAAGGTTTTTTTTCACACAGTTTTAAGGGATGATACAGCAATTTTAAGCTGTTTTCTTTTTTAAATTTTTCTTTGTGTGACACTCAATGAAAGTATCTTATGAAATGTTCAAAACTTTTCAGAATCAGTTACACCAAGTTCATTGTATACTTAAGATGAACCTCTGTCTAAGACTGTTGTTCCTCCAAAACAATAAAAGGGTTTCAAAAACAAAATAAATTCAAAACAAAATTTACAACACAACATATGATGTAGTCAATTTATCATTGTTTCGTTCTTCAAAACAGTAAAAAGTGACAGGAACTATCTGTCTGACACAAACACAAAATAATTCTAGCCATTTAAGGTCAAGATCTAGTAAATGAAAAGAGCCTACAGATTTCTCAAAGTTGAGAAATAAATTCCTTTTATGATGCTTTATAACTATAGCTCGGTCAAATAAGGTGTATCGGGGCATAATTTGCAAGAAAACAAGATGAAAAACCATCTTGTAAACTGTCATTTTCAATGAAAAATTAAGAAAGCCAGTCACGAATATGGGAGTTTTTTTCCATATCAGATGAAGGAAATGTATTCAGATTGCCTACAGTCTCTCAGAAAACGGTAATTTGTATGTTCTTAGTCTCTTCTTTGAAACAATGTAAAATTGAATATAGGTATCGGGATTACTTTTCACATGATTTCAAATTGAATGCCATGAAAATACTTTATTTTCTACATAATTCTATTTGAGCTGTAAAGTACGGGAAAAGGAAAGTTTAAATTGATTATGACGTCATAATGGATCTAGCACCGAAAAGACGGTCTAAAGTCATTTACTAGATCTTGACCTTAAAAACAATATGGTGCATTTATATATTGCAGTGGAAAGGGGGGGGGGGGGATCTGGTATGTTATTTAACGTATTCTGTGTGATCAGAACTGTATGCTATTGTAATGGCCAATCTGATATCAATGTATATTTTTACTCACATGTCAACCATTACTTATTGACCAGTGGCCATCCATTCACACTACAACACCCATAAAAGACTCTAATCAACCCCCCACCAATATACATGTAGTACTGTGTGAAAGCAATAAACTGTTATTAGTCCAATGTGTAACCTTGTATGTTCCTGTCATTGGACTCCTCAATGAAACACAGGGACATACTTTGTATTATGCAGACTTGATGGCTTTTACTTGTCAATGTACACAAAGGTTAGCCCCCTGTGATTTGGCACCCGGTGACACAACACATTGAAACACCAAATTTAGTACCTATCTTACAGCTCACTTGACACTGTGGATTGGAGTTGATTCTTTTCATTTTGCAATTTTCTCCCTTTTTTGTAATTTCACCAAAGAATATCATAAATGACATATTTAAATAGAGAAATTGCATTGAATTTCTTTCCATATTAAATCTGATAATTCGACCTAATCTACGACTTTTACTCTTTTTTTGTACAGCCTTTTAGGCTTTGAAGATATTGAACCAACCTGATATTTTAACCCTTCTACGTTTAGTGGAAGATGTACCCTTGTACTTATAAAAACCATCGTATCGGTCAGAATTTTGCCTGCCCTGGAACCTCTCCACAAAACTTCTTTGCTTTTTCCCACAATTGTACCCTTTTGTTCCACTACTGTTTGAAACATCAGCACTGAAGTAAAACATTTGGCTACTCTTCCTCTTATTGTTGTTTCTATCTGTCCTTGTCAACTTCATCCGCAGATAACTTATCCATTTAGTGAAAAGCACACCAAACCAATTAAATAAAAATCCAGGACAAGCCATTGCATCCTCCTCCCATTTGTGTACCCCCCAAAAAATATGGAGCAGTTGAACTTCACAATTCAAAGTGTACAAGCCACGACCTGAAAATCTCCTTACTGCCAATTAAAAGTCTTTAATATCTTATGTCTAATCATTTTCATTATGCAATGGAACAAGAGAGTCTCACAGACATTTCTTTTGTCCTCATTTTGTTTGACTACTGTCAAATTCATTAGGGGTAGCATTGAGCTCTTTCAATAATAGAGACTGCCTTAATCCATTCATCCTGAGTAAAGTTTACAGGGTGTCTAGCACCAGAGCCTTCAGGGGGTAAAAAACATCCTTCTTAATTGGAATTCTTAATTGGAAATGAATTGTTGTGTCAACAAAAGAAATTGCATGTATATAAACACTAGTACTTGGAATTTGTCACAGTTTCAGCTTTCAAGCTAAAAGCTTCTCTCCCTCTTTCTCTCTCTCTCCTCCCATATGTTAACCAAAGCCCACCTTTATAGAATTTTCTTATTCTGTCAAGCTATATTATAGCTGAATGTGAACTTCAAAATTGTCAATTTTATTTCAGCTTTCTAGCTCAATATGGACCCCCCCCCTCTCTCTCTCTCTATAAGCCCAATATTTCTGTAAACTACATATCTTCCATAACAAATGATTTCACATCCAATAACATCTTTCTTAAACCTTCCTTTTCAAGTTACTAGCATTAATGGGTGGGTGATTTTAAAATTAATCCAGTGCCTTTGAAGTTTCTTATCACCAGAACATAGGTGTTTATAGTTTGAACACTGATAGCTGTACCTATGTATGTCAACTTAGAGCCCTGTTATGTCAAATAGCATTCAGTTTTTATCCTAGATACACCGATTAACACATTTTGGACAACTTTATACTACATCAACAAATTGGAATGTTTGATATATATAGCCAGCAGCCATGGCTTCTGTGAACCTTCCAAATCTTTTATGGCCTTTATCTTGTCACTTTCCATTACGGAAGATCAAAGTTAGAAAAAAATTGCAAGATTTATAAAATTGATTAAAGATGTGTTATTTTTCTTCGTAGTTGATCAAACAAATTAAAGGGAAAGTGAGATTATAGGCTCAGAAGAAAGCCAGAAACCTGCTTCTTTTCAATCTAAATTTGCCTTGTTTTTAACAAGACAAATTAATGAAGTAGTTTTAATTAAGTGTCAGGCCGTGCATTGGGGTGTCCTTTTAAATTTTACTACCTTGAATATTTTCTTTCTGACATAGTATCAAAACTTTCCCAAGTATGTTTAATAAAACCACAGATAAACTATTAATACAGACCACATGAAAGAAGACCTGTGTAAACTATTAAAGCGTCCAAAAAGAAAGATTATGTAACTGAAGAGTTGACAAATTCTTTCCTTTTTAAATCTGTCTCTCATGGGGGATTATAGCATCTGACTTTCCTTAATCCATTAAATACCTGTAATGACTATATATAGGTACATAAACTTCTCTGAAACACACACCCCCTTCCCCTAAGCAGTGAAATGTTGATGTGGGCGGTTTACTATAGCAAATACTACTGTCATAATATGACAGGTATAAAGGTAAACAACACCCAAAAACAACAAGACAACAAGATTAAAAGATAAATTTCCCCCATCAGGTGTGGTGGTAACATGTTCGACTCACTGGTCGGCTAGGTTTGGGTCAGGACGGGAGTCAAGGCACATCAAGTGACAGGCCACATGAGAGTAAATGTCTCTCTCATCTTCTGTATAAATATATAATAATCACTTAAAATTGTCATAAGACCTGGTACATGCTTGACAGCTGGTTAAAAAAAAAAGAATTACAGCAATTTTTGACACAAATAATTTGCACAGAACTCACTGAGGAAAAAGGTCTGTATAGATGAATAGAAAATATTATCATTATTATAAATTTATAATGCAGTGTAAAATGTGCATTTCCATAAAATAAATAAATAAATAAATAACCCTACATAATTAGGAGTCCACCAATAGGTGGAAAATATTTTTCATGCAGTTCTTTGTTAATAAGTGTTAATTAGGTATCCCTCACATAAATTTCATTCTTACAACATTTCTAATGAAATTACCAGTTTGGAAGACAGTTAAAAAGTACCAGGTAATCAAATAACATTTGAATAAAAAAATCTGTATAGGTCTAAAGAGGAAAATCTTAACACAAAATTTCCTTTGTATGGCCTGAAGTACATGATGACGTCTTCATTCCTTCATATAAGCTTGTCAGACATAAAGGCTTTTTTCCCCCATCATGGTGTAAATCCAGTCCACTTTCTGGGGTGAATTATGACCTCCAGCCAACAGGTAATGAGATGAGTAATTAGCATCATTAATTAAGACAAAGAAATAATTACCACCATGCCTGTCTTCTGTGCCTAGAGCAATAAACATCACACTATCTTGTGCTTTTATTTCTCATGTTCGACAATGAATTTTACACATATTGCAAAGAAGGTATAAAGCTAGTAGCCTGCATGATCAAAGGTCTTTCTTATTGAGTTTACTCAAAAAAAAAAATCATTTTCATAATGAATGATTGGAGGGGGAAAAAAAATACATTTCATTATCTTAGCTCAAAAGTCTTGCATTATCAGGTGCAGATCCAGGAATTGAAGTGGGGGGGGGGGGGACAAAAAGTAGGCATGGGGTCTTGGGGCTGCCTTGAGCTCCTGGATTCTGGAGATTTTGTAGGGTAAGAAGTAGACATTTTCACATTTTCTTGACAAAACTTTGATTTATGCTTACTTTGAAAATTGGGGGGGGGGGGGGGGGGTGCCAGGTGCGCCCCCTCCCTTAAATCCGCCACTGATAATGATATTCTGCATATAATTTTTCCATTTAAACATATCACTCATCTACGAAAAATTCCAAAGATCTAAGACCTAGCTATCAAAAGTAATATATATATAAAAGTCGACTTGTAATATTACGTAGCTTCTTTACAAGTCATTAACCCTAGGTACACAGTGTACCTGAGAGTTAAAATCTCCCGAGTTCAATGTTAGA